ATTGGAGCTTAGTGCCCATAACACCGAGCTGGCGAAGAGGAACAAACACCACCATCATCTAGGCCCCGGTGGCTACTATGCCAAGGAGGAGTAGTTTAGGAAGATGGACGAAGAGGCCGCAGCTGCTGGGAATATCGATGTGACGAATTTGAAGGTATGCTTAAGGAACTAGATATATGCGAGGAGTACAGAATCATCCGGCGGTAATCTTAAGTTTGATAAGCCGGAGACCCAAGAGGCAGTATCAAGGATACTGAAATATGCTGAAGACAAGGAGAAGGGCTCATTCAATCCTTCCAGAGAGAGGGACGAGCTTAGCCTTGGCTTGGGAAACAAGGAGCACACAGGCCGCACCAGGGCGCTAGGGAAAAGGACGATCTAGAAGCAAGGATTCAAAGAGGACAGACACATGTACAAGAAACATAGTAGAGACCGGGAGACTAGTCTTGAGCTCCAAGTGAAGGCTCTAGTTGCGAAGGCGCTGGAGGAGCAAGGACTGTCTATGGAGCCATGGATATTAGTGATGCCGCCGGGAGAACTGGTATTAGTTGGCAGCCCTCCGAAAGTTCCTAGCAGCCAAGGTTCCACTGCAGCCACAACCCCCGTCGATCACATACAGGAACCAACTAGTTGCACCTTGGTGTTTCTCAATGGCCTGCAGAACACTGTGATGGAGGTGGCAACGGGTGTGGCATATCCTCCCGGTGGCTTATACCACAATAATAAGATACCATCGGACTACACTAGGGTCGAGGTGCATACAGTGAAGCCCGAGTTCATGCAGTGGAGGATAGACTACGCAACTCCCGAGGGGCTGGTGTTACTCGGAGGCGTTATGGGGCAGTTCATCCTCTGGCACAAACGGGACATTATATTGACTGCTTCTTCGCCGCCTCCCCCTCTCCCAAATTTGGAGCGAGTTGTTGAGGTCGGGGAGATATTTTCACCGTCTCGTGACCCCCACATTCTTGAGATGCCACATTCTTCCCCACCTCCTAGCGAGCATGTGCCTGATGAGATGCCACAACCTTCTCCAGCTCGTACCGAGCAAGTGCATCATGAGATACCACAGTTGTCTCAACAAGCACAGCCGATACATGAACAACGAGTGCCTCCTGAAGAAGGTGATGCACAAGAAGATGAGGACGTGCCTGAATGGGAACTTCGAAAGAAGCATCCAATCACCATAAGGCTAGTTTATGTTTCGATCAAAGACATCTCGTCGGTGTCCAAGTGGTTTTCCCATGACCAGTTCAAGCCTGAGAACCAAGTTAAAAAAGTCCCATCACGGGGTTCTGAGGAGGCTGTCACTAGCAAACTCCACCAAATTGCAAAGCAGTATCCAAATGTTGATGCCATCAAATGGTCAAAGGATTGTCCGAAAACATATGAAAGAGGCAAGCCCTTCCTACCAAACTGGGACATCCAGCGCCTACCACTTGGAATGAGAAGGTTCCATGATTGGTCCTTGCGTGTTCTCCCAACGAGCATAGATCTCATACAAGCATGCTTCCCCACCGGCACATTTGGAAGCCCAGCCAGGAAAATTGTCTTTGACTTCAATGACATGCACACATGCTTTTACCTGGGAGAAATGGAGATGAATCTAATTCGCACGTGGTGCCTGTAAGTCCTTGTCCTCCCGATATGATATGAATGTAATCTTTGAATTTTGTTGTAACTAACCCACGCCGTGATTTGTAGAATGCAAGTGCACATTGTCAAACAAATGCCAAGTGTGAAAGCCGGGTATGCAGACCCTCAAGCTATAGTCCAAACAAATTTTAATTACCCTAAACGGTGGACACTGGATGCCAAAGAGCTAGCTGCTGCAAAGACTCTTCGGGAGAAAGAGCGCGTCCATACGGCAAAACTAAGGGAAGAGTCCCTTAAGGTTGCGGCATACATTGCCCTGGCTTTCAAAAATCTCCAACAACACTCTACTATATGACTACCATACAACTTTGAGTAAGTTCAACTCTATACTTAAAGCTTTGTTCGATATATTTTATTCGATGCAAAAGAGCTTATCTAGTTCTATGATTAAATCCATGCAGCAACCACTGGATTTGTATAGCCGTCGATGTCGGGAGGAGCATGGCATGGGTCTTTGATTCATTAGATAGGGACACGGTGACATACAAAGACTTCATATCGATTCTCAAGACGTATACATATCGACAATCCTCATTAGCTTATATGTTTATATACATACTTGTAACATTTACTTTTGGATACTAATAAGTTGTATTTGCTAAAATAATTTGAACAGGGCATTTAGGTTCTATGTCACTAATCATCATGGAAGGCATGATCCAGCAAGGAAGGAAAAGCTGGCTATAAAAACACTATGTGCGGTAAGTGTAACTTACTTCTTCAGTACTCCGTTACATGGCTGTCAAAAGCATTACTTAACATTTTCATATGCAAAACACACAGTGCCCCAAGCAGAAGCCTGGGAGTGTACATTGTGGATACTATATATGTTCTATGATGAGTAACACCGGTGCCTACAGGAGACACCAATTAAGGGTAAGTTTGAACCTCTTCACCCGTAGTATAAAAACTTCATACATGGTATGAAATATTAAACCAAAACTTGTTCTCTTGTAGTGGAGAGAAGAGAAAGGAATGAAAAGAGACCCATACAAGGATGACCAACTCTTAGAGCTCGTCGGCGACCTTTGTAACTTCATATTGGACCAGATTGTACACGTCAGAGGCGCCTACCATGACCGAGAGTCTGAGTTAGGTACAAATCCTCAGTACCAACACCTTCATAAGACTGAAAGGCTAGCTCTAGGATGTTGATAACAATGTGTATGGAATTTGTATATTTAATGATGGATTGTATATATTTTTGTGAATTGGACTTGTAATTGTAGTTTATAGAATACTCTTGTGCTTGTAGTCGCGGTCGCGGGGTGTTCGGCAACACGAACGTGGTTTGGAACGTTGGCCGTGGGGCGTTCGGCAACGCGAACGCGGTTCGGAACGTTGGTCGCGGGACGTTCGGCAACGCGATTTTGATTTGTAAATTTGAATTTTTTTGTGGGAAAACGTACTGTAGGGGCGGTTCTAGATTGAACCGCCCCTACAAATACATGTTTGTAGGGGCGACTGGTACTACAGCCGTCCCTACAAATCGATTTGTAGGGGCGGTCTAGGAACCGCCCCCAACAAATGCATGATTTATAGAGATGGTTCGGTAGGGGCGGCTGGCCAAACCGCCCCTACAAATGGTTACGAGCCGCCCCTAAAAATCGATTCTGTAGTAGTGGTAGCCGAGATGAGGCGGACGGGAGGGGCGTCGCGCCGAGGGCCGGGAGGGGCCGGCGCGCTGGGATGGGGGGGGCGGTGGCGGCGGCACGGGAAGGCGGGGGCCCGGCGGCGGAGGGTGGCGGCCCGGCTGCGGGGGGTGGCGGCTCGGCGGCGGAGGGTGGTCCAGCAGCGCGGGGTGGGGGGTGGCGGTCCGGCAGCGCGGAGGGCGGTCCGGTGGTGCAGCACGGTGTGCGGGTGAGTGTGTGAGTGTGTGTGAGTAAGTGTGCGGCCAGATAGGGTAAAAACCAAAGGGCTTTGCCGAGTGCCAGATTGCGGGCACTCGGCATTGTTTTTTTTTAATTTCCAACCGGTACGGGTACTGGTAAGTGGGGCCGGCTTGGGTAAGTCGGCAAATCTATTGTTTGCCGAGTGTCGCACAGTTAACACTCGGCAAAATAAATTGATATTTAATGCCCACCCATCCTCCTTCATAACGTGTTATACTAAATTTGTTACGATATAATTTGAAAATACCTTGTCAAATTCACTCAATAATGCATATTTGATTTTTCTACGAATATTAATCCATTATTTCATACAGTTATAGCTCAAATTCAATTTATATCAATTAAAATTCTATAATTACAGTTAATAAATTAAAATTATCAAACAGATCCGAAAAATTACCAAAATTTGACGTGAACCAATATATGTTGTCTATTGCCTATACAAAAAGTTTTGAAGTCAAACCCTAATTTTACCATCACTTTGACTTCAAATCTTACCGGATTCTTCCAACGCTACGATTCTTCTTCGGAGATGCTTCGGTTTGTAAGCGTCGTACGTGACAAATTGTGTGAAACCTTCTCAATTTTTTTTCCACAGTCTCCACTTATGATATCAGGAGATCTTGACAAATCTCGTCATTTTCAGACATCATTTGCTTTTTTTAGAATTTAAAAACTATTCGGCCACACGTTCGTGGTCGTGTTTCGTGAACAAAATGTTCAAAATTTCTTTTCATTTCCCGAGTAAGGCCCCAAAATGGACTCAATAACATGAATATGATTTCTTCACTCAATTTATTCCATTATTTGAATCACTTGCAGTTCAAAATTGACTTAGACTAAAAAATTCCTCTAAATGCAATAAATTAATTAAATATAGCAAACAGATCGAGAAATATACCAAATTGTAACATGTAGTACCACATGTTGTATGTGGAGAGTACAAAAAGTTTAGAGGACAGGAGAGAAAAAAAATTATTATTTTGCCGAGTGCTAATAAAAACACTCGGCAACAACATTATTTTGCCGAGTGTCAATAGAAAACACACGTCATACCTTGTCTTTGCCGAGTGTCTCTAACGGACACTCGACAAAGTTCTAACGGCAGGGCGGCACACCCAACGGCCATCACATGGCCGCCGCACGCCCAGCGCACGTGCCTATACTTTGCCGAGTGTTGGTGTTTGCCGAGTGTTTTGTTGTAGGTTGCCGAGTGTTTTTTATTAGGCACTCGGCAAAGTTGGGTTTTACCGAGTGCTATATGTTTGCCGAGTGTTTAATTAAAAACAATCAGTAACTAGGATATTTGTCGAGTGCCCGATGAAATGCACTCGGCAAACCCTCAGGCACTCGGCAATTTTACCGTTTTCGGTAGTGTTGGAGGATATATTGGATAAATTAACTTGCACCGTTGTGGAATGAATTAATGAAACAGTGTCTATATATTGCTTATTAGTCGTCGAAATTCTGGTAGGTGGTGAAGGTTTGTTCGAACTGCCACCACTCCGGCACGACGTCCTTGAAGACGAGGTTCTGGCCGCCGATGGAGACGAGCGCGAAGCTGAGGCCCTGGCCGACGAGCCCGCCGGAGAGGCAGTGCCAGTTGGCGCCCCAGTTCCTGTACATGGGGATCCAGTCCGTGTTGCTGCCCTTCATCGCCATGCTCTGGATGGAGCCGCTACCGACGACGTTGGTGATGAGCACCATGTAGAAGCCGTTGAAGCCGGCGATGGTGAATCGCACGCCGCCGCTCTTCCAGCACTTGACCCGCTGGTAGAGGACGGGGATGATGCCGGCGCTATAGATGCCGATGTTCTCCTAGGCGGGCTGGGACATGTCGAAGTGGGGGCGGGGCGGGCCGCACCAGCCGGCGGCAGGGAGCTCCCCGCCGGCGGGAGGTCCCAGTTGGGCGGGCAGAAGTTGGTGGCATAGACAACGACCCAGTTGTTGCCGGGCTTGCACCACCCGGTCTTGCTGCTGTCGCAGATGATGACGTAGCACTGTCCACACGACGCGCCGTCGTTGAAGAGCGCCGTGTTCAGCGCCGCGTTGTTGATGCCGTAGCCCTGCTCGTACAGATCGCTGTACCCGCATGCGCCACCTGCATACGTACGTGCTCGTTGATCAGATCAAAGTCTGCACACCCATGACCCAACTAAAGACAAAGGTAGCTATAGGTTACCCACCCATTGTGTCGGAGCCGTCAGCGCCGCCGTAGAACGTGGCGGTGGCTGAAAGCCAGTCGCCGGATCTCACCGGCGAGACGAAGAGTGCAAGGACGACGGCGAGCAGTTGGTGGAGGAAACGTTTGCCCATCTTGCTCTCAGAAATGGCCGGCGATCGATCCCTGTCCTAGTCTCCCAGACGTTGTTAGCTACTAGAGAGCGTAGTAGAGACAGTAGACAGGTTTTGGAGGTTGGAGGTGAGGAATGTCTGCAGCAATGGTGGAGCTAATATAGCTAGCTAGCTAGGGTCGAGCTCGAGGAGACGTACAGGCCGGCAAAGAATCTGATATTAGATTATTCCAACAGAAATCATGCATGGTTATCCCATCATTCACATACTGAAACGGACAAAAACACACTGTTCCAACGACGATCGCATGCACATGGTTGCAACGACCAGAGATTGACTTGCATTGGGCGTTGTTTATTTAATGATCGAACTGCCGGTACGCATAGCATTATATTGTTTGTTTCTTCCATCCAAAATGAGATAAAGGTTTAGAAAACAATTTCCGTACTGAGTAGTCTGCTGTATTGTACTAGTTACAACCACTCGACCATCCAGATTAAATTTCGTCAAAAGAAAAAGTTCAATTTTAGGCAAACAAATAAGATGTATTCACCAATGTTTGTAGGGAGCTTACTCGTTGTTTGATCTTGAAAACAATTCCCCTTATTGGGTGGGCATCAAAACAAAGGAAGATGCTAAACATTTCATGCATGCAAGAACATATTTTTTTTTCGCTAACGTGGAGATGTCTGGCTTTTAGGCATTCGACGTCACATGTGGAGATGTCTGGCTTTTAGGCATCCGACGTCACAACTTGCTTCAAACTTTCTTAATTTTTTTACCACGGCCTCCACATGCGATAACAAGACACCTCGACAAGTTTCATGATTTTCGGAATTCGTTTGGATTTTATATAATTTAAATACACTTTTCCCGCAAGTACATCGTCATGTTACGACAACAAGATGCTCGTAATTTCATGCGAGTTCCTGGATACGACCTCAACATACGCCAAACATCATGAATACCATTTTTTGAATGGCCCAATACCATTATTTCATGTACATGCAGTTCAAATTTGAAATAGTCGGAAAAATTCAACGAAACAAAAATAATTAAGGAAATATAGTAAAAAAACTCAAAATTGTCCCAAATTTTGAAATGGAGTTTTAATTACTGTAGCAAGGCCCCAGAAAAAAATGGGGAGAAAAAAACAAATTTTTTTTTTAATTTGCCGAGTGCCAACCTTGGCACTCGGCAAAGAAGCCTTTGCCGAGCGGCAGGTCACAGGGCGCTCGGCAAAGAATTTTTTAAAAAAAATTAAAAAACTTTTGAAAGTGTCACTTTGGGCCCGGCACTCGGTAAATCTTTTAACCTAAAGGCCCCCAACGGGCCGGCTAATCACCGCACCCCCTCTCCTCCTCTCCTCCCGCCCCCAGCGTCCTGCCCTTGCTGGCCGCCGCCGCCTCGCCGGCCGCCCCGCCCCCCGCCGTTGTTCCCCTCGGCGGTGAGCTCTGCCTGGCCCACCCGGCGTCCCCGTCTGCCCAAGAACCCGTCCACGCCCAGCGCCCGTCCCCGGTGGCCCGCGCTGGCCGCCTGAGCTCGCCGACACCCCGGGCTCCGAGCTCCCCGGGGACAGCGACCCGGCCGGCCCCGAGCTCCCCCGCCGGCCCCGAGCTCCACCGGCCCCACCGTGCCCTGCGGCCGGCCAGCAGAGGGAGAAGGAGAGGAGCAAGAGGAAGAAAGAGAAGGGGGAGGAGGAAGAGGAAGAAAGAGAAGGGGAGGAGGAAGAAGAGGAAGAAAGAGAAAGGGGAGGAGAAAGAAAAGAAAGGTGCCGACCCGACCGCTCGTCGATCCTCGCGCCGTTTCGACCGCCCGTTGATCCTCGCACTGCTGCGATCATCCCTGCCGTCGTCGTCGGCCCTCGCTCTTGTCGTTCTTGCCGCCAAGGTAAGCCCTACCCTTGTAGGGTTAGTAGTAGTAGTAGTTAGTAGTAGTTAGTTGTAGTGTTAGTAGTAGTAGTTAGTAGTGTTAGTTGTAGTAGTTAGTAGTGTTAGTTGTAGGGTTAGTAGTAGTAGTAGTTAGTAAATAGTAGTAGTTAGTAAGTAGTAGTGGTTAGTAGTATTAGTTAGTAGTGTTAGTTGTAGGGTTAGTAGTAGTAGTTAGTAAATAGTAGTAGTTAGTAAGTAGTAGTGGTTAATAGTAGTAGTTGTTAATAGTTAAGTAGTTCTTAGTATTAGTACTGTTAGTAGTTAAGTAGTTGTTAGTAGTAGTTTTAGTAGTAGTTGTAGGGTTAGTAGTAATTGTTGTTGTACTACTTCAATACTTTCATCTGCATGGAAAGAGAACTAAAGTACATGGCTCCTCTTGATATATTGGTGGTTGTTGGCCTTTGTGCCCATGTTTGGTATATATGTGGTTGTTGGCCTTTGTGCCATGTTTTTTGCAGGTTTTGGGAACCTCCCTGTGTAGGGGAGGTGCTGCCAAAATTTTGAGTCGACACTAACCATTTTTGCCCTTTTTTTTATAGGAGGACCTGTGGGAGGGACTCGGCGACCCCGATCATCTTCGTCGGCGCTGCAGGTCTTCCTGCACCGCATCGACTCGCCACTGCACCGACTCTCCACCGCCCCGCTACCCTGACCTCACCGGTACCGTAGGTATAACCCCTCTATCCGTATGTGGTCTTTGGTCACGTAACCTAGTTAGGTGTCTCCCATCCGAAAGAGATACGGTTGGAGGTATGCAGATCTTTGTATATCTGCGACCATATCTATTTTGGATTGTCCACGTTTTTTGGACAGCCCACGGATGCGTAGATGGGTTAGTTTCCATGGTCCGCTCCGGTTCGAGATGGTGTTTCGGCATTACCCCCTGTTGTTCTCCGGATACACACTCTCCCTTGCAGGACGTGTATCGAGAGAACAGCGGGGAGGTGCTGCCAAAATTCTGTCTCGGATAGGAGCGGAGCATGGAAACTAACCTCATATACGCATCCACGGGTGGGATTAGGACCTATCCTCACCTATTAGAGAGTAGGGTCACCTGTGGAGATGTTATATATGCTAGAGGATGGAGGACCATCAATGGATGTACGCGGGCCGGACAAGTTAGGGTGATGTCAGCATTGAATGGATGAACAAGACCAATCGTTTCTTGAAGTGTGCATTTGGCAAGGCCGCTAGATACCCGAAAATGGCTTTGTGTCCCTACAACAAGTGTGGTAACAGGAGAATGCAAAATCAGGAAGTCATGGGTATACATCTGCACAAGAATGGGTTTACGCCGAACTACACCCGGTGGGTCCACCATGGTGAAGCCGATCGTATGAGAGAGGAGGTGGTGAGACCATGTGTCGAGGCTTTCAATGCTGATGCCGGGGTAGCAGACATGGTAGATGACGTTCACCAAGCACAGTTTGCTGAAGGACGTGAGGAGGCAGAGATGCAGGCAGCCGTAGATGCGTTCAAGTGCATGATGGACTCGGCGGCGAAACCCCTTCACGCTCATTCTGAGGTCTCTCAGCTGGATGCCATTAGTCGCTTGATGGGGTTGAAGTTCGATTTGAACATGAGTCGAGAAGGCTTCGATAAGGTGTTGGCCGTGGTTGGCACCTTGCTTCCAAAGGACCACATGTTGCCGAAGACCATGTACGAGGCACAGAAGCTCCTTAAAGCACTGAAGATGCCGTATGAGCAGATACATGCTTGTCCGAACGGGTGTGTCCTATTTCGTGAAGAACACAAGGAGGCAAATAACTGTTCGAAGTGTAAAGCTTCCAAGTTCCTGGAGGTAGAGTCTGGTGATGGTGGTGGCCAGAAAAGGCAGCTTAAGATACCTGCCCGAGTCTTACGGCACCTTCCCTTCGTGCCGAGGCTTCAAAGGCTATTCATGACCGAGGAAACCGCGAAACAGATGACGTGGCACAAGAATGGCAAACGGTAGAATCCTGACAAGATGGTACATCCATCTGATGGTGAAGCATGGACCAGCTTTAATGACAAACATCGTCTGAAATCCGATGGGGCTCGTAATGTATGCGGTCGTCGTCTTTGGCAAATGATGGGTTCAATCCTTATGGCATGATGGCCGCCCCTTACACATGTTGGCCCGTGTTTGTTATCCCCCTCAATCTCCCCCCTGGCGTCGCCTTTCAACGACATAACGTGATCTTGACGTTGATAATTCCTAGACACCCGGGGAAGAATATGGGTGTGTTCATGGAGCCTGTGATTAATGAATTGATCAAAGCTTGGAATGAAGGGGCATGGACATACGACCGAGCTACAAAGCAAAGCTTCAAAATGTACGTCTGGTACCAATACTCCATGCATGACTTCCTGGCGTATGGGTTATTCAGCGCCTGGTGTGTTCAGGGGAAGTTCCCGTGCCCAATATGCCAGGAAGCTGTGAGGTTCATTTGGTTGAAGAAGGGTGGCAAGTATTCGTCGTTCGATCAACATCGTCAATTCCTAGATTCCAACCATCCATTCCGACAAGACACCAAGAACTTTAGGAAAGGTGTCGCAGTCACGGACCCTAGACCGCACTTGAAGACTGGTGCCGAGGTTCATGCTCAGATAGATGCTCTCGTGCCCAATGAAGAAGGTGGTTTTGTGGGATATGGTGAGCAACACATGTGGACTCATAAGTCCAGCTTGACGAGGCTCCCCTATTTCGATGACCTCCTACTGCCCCATAACATTGATGTAATGCACACTGAAAAGAATATCGCCGAGGCACTTTGGGCAACACTCATGGACACTGACAAGTCTAAGGACAACCCTAAGGCTAGAGTGGACCTGGCGACGTTGTGCGATAGACCACATCAAGAGATGCGGCCTCCTGCAAATGGCAAGAACTGGA